TTTTTTACAGGAACACTGAATGACCAAAAAAAGCACCACCACCAGTCCTAATTTCAGTTAAAATGGCTAATTTGCATTCATACATGGTTACCAAGTTTTAATTCTAATTACTAAACTTCTATTATTAAATAATACTTGATTGTCATATTATAATGCTCGACTGCTTGACTGACTGATGTAAGAGTGTACTTTCAGATATTTAAAAAGCTGTGCCATTTTACAAACACATACATATATATATATATATATATGTTTGTAAAATGGCACAGCTTTATATATACAGTGCCGCTTGAAAGTTTGTGAACCCTTTAGAATTTTCTATATTTCTGCTTAAATATAACCCGAAACAATCAGATTTTCAAGTCCTGAAAATAGACACAGATAACCCAATCAAACAAATGAGATGAAAATGTTTTCTTTTTCATTTATTTATTGAGAAAAATTATCCAGTGTTACATATCTGTGCGGTGCATCAGATATCTATATAGATAGATAGTAGGGCAGCACGATTATGACAAAAATCATAATTGTTGATTATTCCTTTGAAATTGTAATTGCGATTATTAATTGCAATTAAATGAATGATGTTTACACCTTTGTTTGAAGCAACTGCATGCCATATTTTTATATGAATTGAATGATGTTTACACCTTTGTTTGAAGCAACTGCATGCCATATTTTTATATGAAAATAAACAAGCTGAAAACACTAACTGAAAAACTTTTATTGCTTTTCTATAGTATTAAGCCTCAAATGTCAAATATACATCGGATTGGTTTCTTCTTTAAATAAAAAAGTACAACTATGCATGGTATTACAATATTATACTAAAATTAAAATAATGGAAAAACCCTTAAGATTACATGTAGAAAGAAAAAAAAAGCATCTTAAGCATGCAGAATAACATAAGTGGACTTTGAACGATTAATTGCTGCTTTGAACGATTATGTAATTGTGGCATCCGTAATTGTAATCGCGATTAGAAATTCGATTAATTGTGCAGCCCTAATATATATATTATACTAAAATTAAAATAATGGAAAAACCCTTAAGATTACATGTAGAAAGAAAAAAAAAGCATCTTAAGCATGCAGAATAACATAAGTGGACTTTGAACGATTAATTGCTGCTTTGAACGATTATGTAATTGTGGCATCCGTAATTGTAATCGCGATTAGAAATTCGATTAATTGTGCAGCCCTAATATATAGTATAATATAGTATAGTATTTCAGTCAGGCAAGTAAACAAAAAAATTTACTAGCCAATGGGGATTCAATTGCCAAGGTGTCCGTAGAGGGTTGATATGTGTACACACACACATACACATACACATACACACACACACATTTCCCTAAAGTGCAAGATTTTCCTTTTATTTTTATAAATTTGTTACTGAGGGATGTTTTATTTACTACTGAGGGAAAGGGGGGATTAAAATGTAAGATGAAATAAAATCATTATATTATTATTTGTTTATGTATTTTTTTTATTTGTCTTGGCAAGTAAACAAAAAAATTTACTAGCCAATGTCGATTCAATTGCCAAGGTGTCCGTAGAGGGTTGATATGTGTATACACACACACACACACATATATATATATATATATATATATAAATGTTCCCAAAAGTGCAAGATTTTCCTTTTATTTTTATAAATTTGTTACTGAGGGATGTTTTATTTACTACTGAGGGAAAGGGGGGATTAAAATATAAGATTAAATAAAATCATTATATTATTATTTGTTTATGTATTTTTTTATTTGTCTATCAGAGTAACTTTCCCCAATACTAACGCATCAAATCAAAGCACTTTTCCTGCTGCATGTTGTTTTCTGTTTTAGTTAAACTGCTGTTTTTGTAAACCACTCTGAAGCTGAAGAAATGTCAGCAGAAATATGAAGTTGTTTCTCTGTGATTTCAGACACTGACAATCATCTGTTGGTGGAGGACTCGTACAGCGAGGACGAGGAATGTCTTGGTGCTCCTTCCATTTACGAAACTCATTCAGGATCGCTGAAGGAAGCAGCTTCCTGCACGACCCATAAACCCTTTCTCCACTTTACCACGTGAGTCAGTCGAATTCATACAGAACTCACTTTTCATCCTCAGCACACTTTAATAATCAATACACCGAGCCCCTTCATTTATTATGCTTATGTTGCAATTTTAATAGTAAATCTTAATTTTTATTTCCATGAGTACAGCCGTTCATGCTGATATGGCAATAGAAAATAAACAAACAAAACATGTCAGATTTATAAGTCTCGAAGGGGTTTACATGATAAAATCAAATGCTGTGTTTTTCTGCCATCTGTTGGTATGCTGCAGGACTAACAGTCTGCACTGAGACCGCTCGTGTTCCTCATCAGACCTACTTCAATCGCGTTTGCATTGATTTGTTCTTCACAGTTCAGTAAAACGGTGTTTTATGGCATTAGCTTGCGATCATCAATACTTGCAGTCCCTCACACTTAAATTAGATTTTGGCTAGTGGTTTATCTTAATATATTGTTATACAGTATAGATGACAAATGCATGAAAATGCGTCCTCCCTAAAGAGCTGCCAACTTTATCAATTACCTTATTTATTTCTCCTCATTTTTGGAGTTTTATTTAGCCATCGTAGCTTCATTCCAGTTGTCAGCAACTCTTCCTAAATGCAGTTTCTCAAAACTAGCATCTGTGTAAACAGCATTTCTGTGCTTCTAGGTTTGAATTGAATGTTTCTAACTCACCTAGACAGATGGATAGATAGATAGTGACCTTTTTCTTTTTGTTTCAGTTCTGCCTACCGGCAGCCCACCTCTTACCGGCCACGGTTGCTGCTGACGGGACCCCAGGGCGCGGGGCAGAGCACGCACCTGGCCCCTGCTGTGCTGCACCACCTGGAGAAGTTCACCGTGCACCGTCTCGACCTACCCACGCTATACTCAGTCAGTGCCAAAACCCCAGAGGAGTCCTGTGCTCAGGCAAGCCGAAAAACACAACATCACTTTTAAAGACTTGACACGTCCAGTGTGTGGTGCTGTGGGCTTGTAGTACTATTGTTGTGCTTAAAATGTGTGTTGATGGTAGTCAGCGCATGCTATCCACCTTATTTTCTACATAGGAGTGAATGCGGTCATTTGTAACGTCTGGTCTGTGTGTAGGTGTTTCGTGAGGCTCGGCGCTGTGTACCCAGCATCATCTACATGCCTCACATCAGTGACTGGTGGGAAGCCATCAGTGAGACGGTCAAGAGCAGCTTCCTCACACTCCTGCAGGATGTACCCTCATTCACACCGCTCCTCATCCTCGCCACAGCAGAGACCGTCTACCAACAGCTCCCAGACGAGGTGACCAATCTGTCCCCTGGACATACCCCTAATCCTAAATACACTTTTTTGCGTAATAGTTTGTTACAGGCATGAATATATGCGTTTTGTTGTGGAGACAACTTTCTTTTCTAAGGGTTAGGTGTACTTGTTTTTTTTTTTTCTTCCCAAGAAATTGCATAGGGTTAGGGTTAGGATGTATGGAAAAATCAATTAAAGACGTAATCAAACAGACGATGAACACTATTAACAGCAATTATTATATATTAATAATATTATAATATTTTTACGATTATTGAAAAATTTACCCTTATGACTGGTTTTGTGGTCCAGGGTCACATATTAGAATTAAATATTTACATATTGAATTCTAATCATAAAAAATATTGTGATTAGTATTTTTAAAAGTATTTTTAAAAATAAATATTATTTGTAGTTTGAACTAAGACGTTAATTCAGCAATCTGTCACGCCATATCAGTGTCCAAACGACATTTATTGTTTGAATTACCATATAAAATCTACAGAATTTGAACGATCAGACTTTGTCTAAGGTTTGTTTTGAATTCTTTGCTGCTTTGTTTCTAATTTCTTTCTTTCTAGTCTAAAAGATTGATATTTCTCTCAATCTCGATTTAAAGGTGCAGTAAGTTCTGAGTAAATTGCAGTAAATCTCTGAGAAACGCTGTTGAAAGTGGATCAGGCCGAACACCTAAACACACTTGTAGCCAATCACCAGTAAGGGGTGCGTCCACTTGTGATAGAGGAGGTGCCTGTGTTGCATGGGGCGCTTCTCAATTCTTATTTGTGCATCCTCATTTCCTTTCCTCGCGTCTTAGCTCCACCCCCGTTAGGATACGAGCGAAGGATGCAAGGAAAGAAAATGATTACAGAGGAATCCAAGGAACGGTTATTTGTACATTGGAATATTCTTGATCACTCAAGCGTCACTTCAAAGCGGCATCAGCTGGGCTAAAGGGATCTGCGCCCTTAAGTTGTAAATATTTGTTATTTAAGACGTTCATAATAATTATTAATAAAGCAAGATGCCCTGTTGAAATATATGACATGTATGATTTATTTAAACTGCAAAGGTAAAATATCAATTAAAATTATTACGACAGATGTGAAGGGGGAGGAGAATTTATACATGCTCAGGTTTTTCGACGAAAAAGACTTCCGCATAGGATACACCTGTGTATCCTTGCTCATAGCTCCTCTGGAAGCCTCCTCGTTCCTCGTCTCCTCACGGTGCAATTAGAGAATTGAGATGTCCTACAAGATGGCTGAGCTCAATCGGTTTCCGGGTCATAGCATGGCGGACGCAGGAGCGAGGAAACTAAGAGGGATATTGACAAGCACCCATAGTGTGTCTGTGAATTTGGGGGCGGAGCTGTCATACAAACGCTGTATTTGCTCGGTATATGTGTGTATGTGTTTGTGTATATACAGTATATATATATATGTATATATATATTAGGGGTGTCGAAATTAATCGATGCATCGCGATGCGGACGTGGACGATTCTCCATCGATGCAGTAATAGACCATAATCGATTATAGCCTTCTGACGTCATTCACATACGCGCTTGTCACACGAGTATTAAAAATGCACTCTCTATTTTAAAATCTGAGCTTAGTTTTTTCCCGCACATGGCACGTGTGCGCGCTAGAGATAATCGCGGCGTGCTTCATTGCACAGGATAGGGTATACGCTGTGAGACACGTGCGTATTGCTTGACTGCGCTTCCATTCGCTGTTATTTTAGTCTTTTACTTTAGATGTGCTTTCATTTATGCCGTTTGGAATGCAGTAGCCTACGTTTTAGATGCACGAAACTCACGTACTGACAGACTTTCACGTGCGCTTTGTGCTTGTCCTGAAGCTCGTGGCTGCGGTTAAATGCACTTGCATCTACTTTTATGATACGAAATTGATGTAAACAATCAGTTATGTTTTCTGAACAGGACAAAACATCTGATATGTTGAAATAGATCTGTGCATTAGTGTGAATGCAGCCTATTAAAGCTGCCACTGTCTATGATCTCATCAGTAATAATCAAATGGCAAAAAAAAAAACAAAAGAAAAAGAAAAACCCATAACTATGATTAGCCTATCTGTAAACTTTCGGATACTTAAAGCACTCCCAGATAATGAAAGTGCTTTTTGTTTATCCCTTGTAATTGTATTTTCCCCCTTTATTACTTTATATTTGCTTGTATGTTTTAAAAGCTATATTTACTTTTAATTCTTAACAATAATTAATCAATTATATATTAATTAATATAATATGAATAATATGAATAATTCAATTAATTAACATATTTATTTTAAAAAGTAGCCTGCTTATATAATTCAATAAAAATGCACAAAATAAATTTGATATAATCGTGATGCATCGTGATATCGAATTGAATTGAATTGTTGACATGATAATCGTAATCGAATTGAATAGTGAAACCAGTGCCGATTCACACCCCTAATATCTATGTATGCGTGTATGTATGTGTATGTATGTATGTATATAAATGTGTGTGTGTGTGTGTGTGTATATATGTGTATATATATGTGTATATATATATATA